GCTGAGAGGGGACCTAATAAATGCTTATAAACATCTCAAGGGTGGGTGTCAGGAGGATGGGGCCAAACTCTTTTCAGTAGTGCCCAGTGACAGTGACAGGGGCAATGGGCACAAACTGAAGCAGAGGAAGTTCCGTCTGAACATGAGGAACAACTTCTTCCCTCTGAGGGTGACAGAGCCCTGGAACAGGCTGCCCAGGGAGGTTGTGGAGTCTCCTACTCTGGAGATATTCCAGCCCCGCCTGCACAAGGTCCTCTGCAGCCTGCTGTAGGTGACCCTGCTTCGGCGGGAGGGCTGGACTAGATGACCCACAGAGGTCCCTTCCAACCCCGAACATTCTGTGATTCTAAGAAAATACCCCTAACACAAACTTGCTACTCTGCAATCCCAGGACTATTATAAGATTGATTCCAAAAAGCACATCAGGTCCTAAAACCTACCAGAACTATTTTTAACACTCTGTTTTTACATCATAGAATCACAGAACAGAATATCCTGAGTTGGAAGTGATCCACAAGGATCATCAAGCCCAACTCCTGACTCCACACAGGATAACTAAAAAAGTTAAACCATCCATCCCAAAGCACTCTCCAAGCACTTCTTCAACGCAGGCAGGCTTGGGGCCATGACCACTTCCTTGGCGAGTGAGCTCGCCCCCTCAGTGAATAACGTTTTCCCAATATCCAGCACGAGCTGCCTCTGATGCAGCTTCAATCCATCCCCTCACATCCTGTCACCAGAGAAGAGACCACCCCCCCCGCTCCCCGTCTCGGGGAGGCCACAGACAGCAACGAGGTCACTCCTCAGCCTCCTCTCCTCTAAGCTCAACAAACCTAGTACCGAACAAGCGCACCGTACACCTTAAACAGGCATGCAATACCACTACATAAAATACTGGTTTCAAATGCAATAAAATATTCTAATGTCACTGGGCTACTTTCATGGAGAACATGCAGCTGTAGCCACCCATCTCTCCACACCCTCCCCAGCAAACTACCACCTGACGCCTGCTTCTTATATGGAGAGGAACAGTATTCACAGTAGAAGTACAAGGCCTCCTAAATCAAACCACAAACTTTGGAAGAAAACTTTTCCCTACTACTCATTTCCAGACAAACTGCCTGAAGAAAAAGAGGAAGGAAAATATTAGTAGAAAGAGTATTTCATTATTAAAAGCCCATACCTCTATGTCTCATGCTTAGCTAACAGAATCAATTCTTATAGAATTATTTAGGAATGGGAAGAACGACAAGAGGTAAAGCTCATCTTTCTGCATGTGCAGAAGTCTGATACGATTATTCCCTCTACAACTTTTGCCGTTACCTTTTTCTGTACTGCTCCGACTATTTTTTCCTGTAGTTCTCGAGTGGAATGAAGCAGAATCATGATTCTGTACAGCAGGTGCAAACAGTGGTGGAATTCCCAAGAGCGGTGGGAAAAAAGCTGCCCCAGGACGAGAATGCATGTCTGCTGTTCGCCACCATTCTGCATCGCAAAGGAAATAAAAACAATCTTCAGATGTTCTAATAATGTATTTAAATATTTCTGAGTGTGTTGCTGTGCATAGCGTAGAGCAGATTTACTAAATTCTCATAGAGAGCAAGAAGAACACAAACCACTTAGGAACTTCTTAAATGACATGATTTTCCTGCAGCAAACCTGGTCTTAAGTCATTAAAGCTATTCTAGTAAAAATTTCACTGCAGTTTTCTTTAAACGCATTCTGAAAACAAATACTCATTAGAAAGCTATGTGACAGCGATCACAAGATGAAACTGCCAGTCCTATAAACAGGGTCATTATACACAGGCCACTCTTCAACATTCAGTATTACCTCAGCAGTCTTCCTCTGTCAGAACTACATGAAAGCACCATAGCTTTAAGTCACCTCGACAATCTCCGTCTTGGAATACTTCAAGGTCTCCACCACAAAAACACACCTGAAGCAGTTCCCCATGAAAACACAGAATCATAGTTTGCAAAAGACCCCTAAGATCACCCAGTCCAACCGTCAACCCATCACACCATGCCTACTAAACCATATCCCAAAGTGCCAGATCTACACGTTTTTTGAACCCCTCCAGGAATGGTGACTCCACCACCTCCCTGAGCAGCCTGTTCCGATGCCTGACCATTCTTGCAGTAAAGAATTTTTTCCTAATATCCAATCTAAACCTCCCCTGATGCAACTTGAGGTTACTTGCTAGTTAGCTGGGAGAAGAGACCAACACCTGCCTCACTACAACCTCCTTTCAGGTAGTTGTAGAGAGCGATAAGGTCCCCCCCTCAGCCTCCTCTTTTGCAGACTAAACAGCCCCAGCTCGCTCAGCCACTCCTTGTAAGACTTGTTTTCCAGACCCCTCACCAGCCTCACTGCCCTTCCCTGGACGCACTCCAGCAACTCAATGTCTTTCTTGTAGTGAGGGGCACAAAGCTGAACACACTGCTCCAGGCGTGGCCTCACCAGTGCCGAGTACAGGGGCACAGTCACCTCCCTCCTCCTGCTGGCCACACCACTCCTGATACAAGCCAGGATGCCGTTGGCCTTCTTGGCCACCTGGGCACACTGCCGGCTCATGTTCAGCTGGCTGTCAACCAACACCCCAAGATCTTTTTCTGCCAGGCAGCTCTCCAGCCACTCCTCCCCAAGCCTGTAGTGTTGCATGGGGTTGTCGTGACCTAAGGGCAGGACCCGGCACTTGGCCCTGTTGTTGAACTTCATACAACTGGCCTCAGCCCATCGATCCACTCTGCCCAGATCCCTCTGCAGAGCCTTCCTACCCTCAAGCAGATCGACACTGCCACCCAACTTGGTGTCATCTGCAAAGTGACTGAGGGAGCACTCAATCCCCTCATCCAGAACATTGATAAAGATATTAAACAAGACTGGCCTCAAAACTGAGCCATGAGGAACATCACTTGTGACCGGCCGCCAACTGGATTTTACTCCATTCACCACCACTCTCTGTGCTCAGCCATTTAGCCAGTTCTTCATCCAGCGAAGAGTACACCCATCCAAACCATGGGCAGCTAGTTTCTCCAGGAGGATGCCATGGGGAACAGTGTCAAAGGCCTTACTATAGCCCAGGTAGATAACATTCACAGCCTTTCCCTCATCCACTAGATGGGTCACCTGGTGTGGAAGTGTACCTGTACTGCTCCTAATAAAAGACATGGCATCTCAGTTTGAATGCAGTTCTGCCTTAATGTGAGTGTTCTGCACTTGGCATGCTGTAGCTCAGGGGACAGTGCTGTACTGCAAAATACACCTTGGGTAAATAGTTAGGTTTTATCCTTAAAAATCACATACTCGATTGTAGAAAGCATTACTCACTTATGTACCTTCTTCCACAACTGACGTCCATACTCAACTAGCAATACTAAATGTTAGCTACCGTCTGCTACACAGTTGAATTAGGAAAGATCACAATGCTCTTATTGTGTTGTTTCTTAAAAAAACAGTAGCAACACTTGCTTCTCTCTCATAGACCACAGTGGTGATTCTTAGTGATGCCAATGAGCAGCAATGCACTGTAATGTTTCATAATACTTTGAAGATAGGTCAAGCTACAACATCCTTTGAGCTTGTTAAGTTCATCAACTTTCTTCATCACACAAATACAGAGTAGGTGACTTCATACTATATTACACATTATTATGGCCTTGCAAAAAGAACTACTGTGTGCTACCTAAGCCATCACCTAATGTGTCCAGAAATAAGAAGTCATCAATTTTTAAATATGCGTTTAGAAACATGGAAGAAATAAAACATAAAGGAAAAATGGAAGCAAAGTCTTCTAGCAATAAACTGAACTGTAATGACATTTTTTCCTCTTTCTTATTTGACAAAAACATTAACAGCCTGTCTAGCAATTAATTCTACTATTTCCTTTTCTTCTACTTTAGTGTTTTCAGGTTACTAACTGACTGTAGACACATTCTGCATCGAAAAATTTCCTATTAAACTGCACTCCTTAACATTCTTGACTTACTTCAAATAAGTTAAATATTTTTGAGCACTGCTTTTCAAATTCTACTAACCACTACACACATAAATGATTGAAAGCATTACTCCAAAGGGCAACATACATTTCATCAATACTGGTCTCTTAGTAACAAGGAACGATAACTGTGAACACCTTTGTTAACATTAATGAACTTCATGGTGCAATATAAGGTTTTCGAAAGAACTCCTTGTATGCATGATTCCAAACTACTCGTATGTGTGATTTCATAGTACTGATGAACATCCCTCAGTGTAAGAAGATGGAAAGCATAGAAAAGGCTTATATATAAGTATGTAAGTATATATATAAGTATATAAGTATATAAGTATATAAGTATATATATAAGTAACAGTGACCCACTCTTATCGTTGGTTTAAAAAATCAAAAACCCTCATCTGAATAGAGAAACCTCAAAAATATCTGTTAATTTAAATGAAGAGCAAAGCACTGGCTATCTCATTAAAGTACTTCAAAACACACCACACACACACCCCAAATTAGCATTTTAATAAACTCTGAATACATTCTTACAGAAGCAAGCATGCAGGTAACAAACACGAATGCAATTGCAAGGATTCCATCTTCAGCTTTACTTCATTAATCATAGGTTAAAAGAAGCTAGTCTTCGACTAATTTTCTAAAAAAAGGCAATTTTCCAATGGCATTGACAAAATTGAACTCTAGTGAGAAAACTGATACATAATTTAGGCACAAACACTGCAGATTATTAACTCTGAGCAGTAAGAATACAGGGAACATACAGAGCACTGATCTACTAAGTCATATTTTAAAAAGTATCAACCACATGGCAACTCTCAATGAGGTTTGCTTTAATATAAAAACTACTAGGTGCTTGATGTGGTTTTCAATGAAATTATTTACATGCTCAAATACAATGGTTTCCTTTAACCTCTAACATCCAAAAACCAATGTACTGAAATTGTTTTTCTTTCAATTCTGTTTCTACTTACAAAGATAAAATTCCATGTCCAAACAATACGCAAAATTGTTTGCTCATCTGTGTACTCCTTATACCAAATACCAAATGAGACAGGATTTTAAAACATGGAAGTACTTGAGTTATGACTATTAAAGTACTTTCTCCCCCTGTCTCCCTTTTTCCTCTGTATTTTTGCTTTAATGTTCTTCAATGATCTTGGAAAATGGATTAATTTGTATTTGTTTATTTATTTTACATCTGGCATATTATTCTCATAGTCTTGTCCCTAAAAAACAGAGCACTGGGCAGTCTGAACACTGAGAAAGAAACCAGCTTCCGGCCTATAAAGGTAATAACATGAAGCAGAACGTCTAAACAAGGCTGGTGCCATGTTTAAATAATTACTGATAATAATTAAATTAGAGAGTGTTTCTTAACAATACACAGACACTAAAATTAAGATGTACTGACCAACTTAACATTGATTTCCAAAAATTGAGAACTTGTAATGTAGATTGTGTAACACTATGGCTGCTCTGTTGGTATCAGAGCTGGCAATTGTACTCTACTACTGTTCACATCCTTGTACTTAATCTAAGCATCTGCATCCCCTGAACTACTTAACATCACATTCTCCCTCAAGATTTCAAATTGTTGTACATTCCACATATTGTAAATCATCACTTTGTTTTTACATATCCACTTTAATCTTGCTGTTGTCACTTAGGATTCAGAATCCTTAAAATCTGTAGAAGTTAATAAATACCTACAAGCCTCAGATGAAAAATCTAACAAAACCAAGGACTATAAAAAACACCACAACAGAAATTTCTTTATACAGTTTTACATTCTAGGTGCTAAATCTGATTTTTTTAACATTTCTTTCAGAAGCCACAATGTCATTTTTATATAAAGACTGAGACACAAAAAATTAACTGGTGTTAAAAAAATGAAAATCTTTGTTAATATAAATCAGAAAATCAAGTGGAAAATTACAGACTTTTCCAATTAAAACCATCCTGTGGCTTTGTCCATTTACGTCCACAATTTAAAAATTCTTCTGGGTCTCATTTAAGGCGAAATAGTGGACTCCAAAAAAACAGAAGATTTTTGCTTTGATAGAAGTAGCTTCTGGTTTGAAAAAAAGATTTTTTTTTAGTTCTTGTTTTGTAAAATGTTAATGAATTTCCTTTTTTTTTTGAAAATTAAGAATATAGAACACTTCATGTCTGATAGTATCAAAATCATAAAATTTGATCATTCAGCTTTGAACACTTTCACACACATTACACAAAACACTGGATTATGGTATCATTTACTCATGTGAGAAAAGGCTAGTCATTTATATTCTCTCAAAGTTGCTAACATTCTCATGAGAATGAATTTAAACCTCTTTCCAGAGTCAATTTCTTTTCCAATATGCCTTCTTATTTTCACTAATGGACAAATACAAAGAAAGCAAGTAAACTATCTGCTTACTTGACTGGAATGCTTCAATTATTCAGGAACTAGTGCTGCATCAACAAATTACACTAACAGTATGTGATATATTTCATAATGGTTTCGTTTTCACACAGGTACTTTGCCTATCTGATCCAGGAATATGCCAAACTAACTTATTTGTAGCGTAATCTCCCTGGTAAAGCATAAAGACTCCCAGTCCTCACTCTCCATGCATCGAAGGGAACCTGACAGGGTATGCAATCCAGTTTACAGTGGAGACTACTTAATAGACTATTGATTGCTGCAAAGAAAATAAATAGATGAACTGGAGTAAGAAGAACCTCTCTAGTCTAATGCACAGATTAAGATGCCTTTACCTTCTCTTAGTAAGAATAATTATTCATTCTTAAACAATTATTTTATTAGATGCTAGAGAAAAGCATTTTAAAATAAGAAGATAATTTAATTACCAGATTGAGATTGACAGACATTGTCATCATTTTTTTTTTCCAGTATCACAGAAGTGAGTAACATCTCACTTTCAAACGGGCTAGGATACCAGCCTATCTTGACTACAGAGTATCTTGAAAATTGAAGAAAGTTTGGCTCAATGACATTGCCGTTCCAGCCACCGGCCATTACCGGGAAAACTGTCTTTGGCTGGCTGGCAACATGAACACTTCTGTGAAGTTTCTCCAGGACAGTGTATCCCTTTCCAGAGTGGACTCAACCATAGTGCACTGTGTCAGACAGAGAAACCAATACACTCATAAATAAAACAGATGGGACAGTACCAATAGCAAACTACATTCCAGCTTGCTTTTAGGAATACAAAAGTGTCCTTGAGAAAATACATACATTCTTAAAGATCAGATAGAGCCAGGCAAAAGATCTGACCATTAAAGAAAAACTAGAAGGAAACAATCCATGAATACTTGGAATTAGTAACAGTCTTTATAACTATTAGCTATCAGACAGAAATGAAACTTTTTTTAAAATAAAAGTTAAGAATAAAATTTTCAAAACCACTTAAGAAAAGGACTACCTGGATTTTCTAAAGAAGAAAGAAACTGACAGTTCAGTATCCTTATTATATTATTCATCTGCTTTAGTCTTACTGTATTTTGACAGACCAAATATATATCCTCTATATACACACAATTTTACAGGGGACACAAAATTACGTGCTGCAATATCCACATAGCAAAGGCGGCAGGGAGAGGTAAATGAGTCACATAAATCCTTGGTTTGGGATTGTACATTTACAGCCACTTGTAAATGATCCTAGTACATTCTGCGAACCACCACAGACAACCATTTCAAATGGCATGAGCTAATGAACACAGACACAAAACTCTTTTGGAGTTGAATATGTAGTGGGGTACTGAAAAATAAAACACACTGATATTTGTTCTGGATCAGTTTTAGTTAAGAACTTTTCTGGCTGATTTCAGAGTAATTAAAATAAACACTTGAGACATAATTCTAGGTATGCACACATTCTGGTTTCTGTTTTTCTTCCCAAAGAAGCCGCAAACAAACAAATACAGGCTATAGCATAGCACTCAGAATCTACTGGTTCTACAGTATCAGGGCAGAAGAATCTTTCAGTTTGGAGAATACACGCTTCCTCACTATACTACAAGAACCAAGTTTGTTCTGAAAGTTGTGGATTACCACAAATTTAAGCTGAAAAACTTCCTGTTTACTTTGTATCTTATACGAATCAGCAGTACTCAGGCTAACAAAACAAATGTATAGAATCTGTTCTCCAAGTGAAGAAATAAACAGCAGGGAAGAGTTATTTACCATTTCTTGTTCTATCCACGACATGCATCATTCAGTTGAAATACAAGTTTCATTCAGAAAAGTGAGATTCTTGCATGGAGAAATCTTCCATATAAGTTTCTGATTCAAGCCAAGATGTTTCACTCTAGTCAAGATTATCTAAGACTATGACATTTTGAAATTCACCCTTTCAATTTCAAGTTCCCTTAGAAGAAACTATTCCTCCAGATACAAAAATACAGCAGAGGTTGGGCTTGAATGCTGAGACAGTGATGTACATTGAAGAAGCAGATTATTAGATCTTAATCTGAAAATGGCACAGAGTTTGCCAGATCAATCCTTAATGATTCTCGCTTCTGCGGCAGCTTTGCAAACTAAAAATTTCTTTCACATTTGAAATAGGCAATTTTAAATTAATTTCATTTCTTCAATAAACAAGTATTATGTAAAATGTATTCACATGATATCAATACCGCTTAGCAAAAAAAAGTCTTCAATGCACCTGTGCAACCTTACTATATTTGACTTGTAATAATAATTACAAGTGTTGACAAACACTAAAATCACACTGCAATATATAATCGAGTCATTTTTACCGCATGTGTTGATTGTGGAACTCAGTGACACAGCTCCCGTGGAAAGGCCACCTTTCGATACTGCTGAAGCTACGGACAGCGAAGACGACGCTGGAGTTGAAGCAGCTGCAGTAGAGGAGACTGACGATGAGGTTAACCGCTCTCCAGACTCCATATCTGTAAGAGAGAAGAGAAATGTCTGTCTTCTACAGCAGGAAATGAAATCACACGGGGACTAAAGGAGTGTCTGTGCTGACCATGTCTCAGGATCTGCACTCGGTTCTTGAGTGGCTCCTACGAGAGCTTCACGTGAGAGCTGCATCCCACGAAGAGCGCTCAGTCATCAGGGGAATGAACCCAGCACAACGACAACAGTAAGGGTACTAGGCAGTGCCGCCTAAAGCTGCGTCATGTTTCTAACTTGAATGCCGACAGCTTCACCTGGGACCCCAACCCACACCCCATGCTCAGGGGCTGCATCTCGCCTCGGGCTGGCACCTTCACCCCTTGCCCGAGTCAGGTCACAGCTCTGCAGCCCAGCCTCTGCCCACACCTGGGACTGATCCTGCGTCCCGTGCTACAGCTTCCCTCCAGGCCTGCCTCGGCTCCTGCCTTCTGCCACTCCCAACCAGACTGCCCAATGGACCTGGGCCTGAGACTCCTCCTTTCTGCCCAGACTCTGCAACCAGCACAGCGTTAGGTTCTGTGGGACCGTGCCAGGGTCGGGAAAAGAACTGCCTGCACCATCCTCCTCGACTGCCAGCTTCTCCCTCCTCACAGAGCAGCCCAGCTCTTGCTGCTCCCTGACAGACCTCAGCTGTAAAGAGCCTGTAATGCATGCCAAAAAGTCCCTCCCTAGTCTCCTAACTCAGGGAAAGTCCCAGCAATTATGGCGAGATGGCATAAACAGAAGAACTTCTGTAAGTTGCTAGCTTTTTTTGTTCCCTGGTGAGCTTTTCAAATAAAATAGGGCATTTTTAGTTATGCCACACATTGCCCAAATCAAAAGTTACCAGCCTTATTTCATTGAACAAGCATGTGTATTTTAAGAAAAACACACAGTAAAATTCTTATTAAAAATATTACTTGTTAAGCAGTAGTTTCTCACATACTTAAAAATTGCAGCCAAGCAAATGATGTCTAAGCATAGTGGTAGCAGAGACAAAAGACTACCTGACTCAATCGGCCAGAACTGCGGTTGACAGTGAGTCATGATCAGAGTATAAAACAAGGCGGGGAAGAAATCTTTCCAGCGTCCCTTTATTATTACAAATGCAATGAGACTAAGCACTGTTAACTCCCAACAGTGAAACTCCTGAGAAACCGGGGTCCATCCCGGAGTCTCCCCTGGCGAGAGAGGCACCACCTCTTCTCAGACCCATCCCTGGGAACGCGAGGCGGCCAAGCACCAAGTCCCAAGTCCAACCACTGCTGTAAAATCTCACTCTCAGTCTTCGGAAAACAGAATGCCAAGTGCACAAGAGACACACACTTTTCCAAATTCTGGTTTAATCAATTTAGAAAACTGATGTGTTAAACAGCACTTCTGATCCAAAGTTATGTTAAATGGTTAGTACCCAAACACTCATTTGGAAAGCCATCATAAAACATGTTATCTACTTCTCCAGAAAGATGCAGTATCCTCAGTTCCTTTCAGTCAGTAAAAATGAACCTTCAAAAGTCAAAGGAAATACAGAAGCGAAAGCCACAGGAAGCTATGCTGTGCCAATTTTAACTAAATCATTAATTCCTTATCTAATAATAATTTCATATAGTAAATAATCCACTAATAATTTTTATATGTGGCAATTTTTATGTACCGGATAAAGTCTCTAGACTTTGCTAGCTAGCAGAACAAAAGATACTACTTTCCTAAAGTGAAAACTCTGCTAACAAGAGAGCTGTACTATATGATAAAGAACTACCTATCCTTTACACAAACTGCAAACAACCACTGTGCAGAGAACATCACTGAAAGACTTCACTGCTTTTGTTCTTTACAGCCCAACTTCTCACATGTAATTTTCATGCATACAGAAGATAATTTTTTTCTGCAAACACAGAAAAATCAACTACCTACACTTATATGGTACAAAAATGTATCCAGTACTATACTGAATATGAAGGCTACGAACTTTTTCTTCAGAACAGTAACATCAACCACAAAAACTATATCCTTCAGAGAACTTATCAGGGCAAAATATTACTTAAGATTTTATGTTTTTAATTTGGGACACCTAAATACATACTTTTCTCCAATGAAACATTTTCTATTCACAGTTAAAGAATACCTCATTGATTTTTAGTAAATTGTGAATATAATTCAGATAAACGGAATTTTGTAAATGCTTATAAATACCTTAAGGGTGAGTGTCTAGACGATGGGGTCAGACTCTTTTCAGTGGTGCCCAGCAACAGGACAAGGGGCAACGGGCACAAACTGAAGCAGAGGAAGTTCCATCTAAACAGGAGGAACAACCTCTTTACAGTGAGGGTGACAGAGCCCTGGCCCAGGCTGCCCAGAGGGGATGTGGAGTCTCCTTCTCTGGAGATACTCAAACCCTGCCCAGACGAGGTCCTCTGCAGCCTGCTCTGGGTGATCCTGCTTCGGCAGGGGGTTGGGCTGGGGGATCCCCAGAGGGCCTTTCCAACCCCGACCATTCTGGGATTCTGTGAACTGCTACTCAGCGGAAGCAGGCCACTGAAAATACTGTATATACTGTATACTGTAAATGTTGTATTATGCCAATTAAGTTTATAATTACTCCTAAGCATAATAATTAATAGAAATCCCTTTCGTAAGTGATTAAGATTTAAGTCTGCAGCATTTGCAAATACATGCATTGTTTCACACTACAAAAATTTACTATCTTTAGTATATCTAGAAAGATCAACAGACATAAATTAATATAACTAAGCATATTTCTAGACACTATGAATGACTAACTTCGGTGAGGCCAACAGGCAGTCCTTGTACAAAAACCTATAGTTTTGTTGTATTTTGACATTCATTGCTCTAAGTATGGCTACAGTGAAATTACTGTATATACAGGCGACATAAAGGAGAAGTAGAAACACATCATAACGGTATTATTACAGTAATCACTTGTAAAAGGCAAGGTTCTTCTAAGCTTTAATGCACTGCATTCAAAATTCAGGATTGAAACTTTGTATTTCATTTCTGTTTCCTGACAAAACACCCAGAATTTCCAAATTTCTTTAAAAAATCGCTGTTCTATTGTGTGTAATAATGCAGCACTAAAGTAAGTCTTTACCATCTAATGTATTTTATAAATAAGCACAGTTAAGAGCCACCTATAAGCAATCTGCTTTTGTGTCACAAATGGGAAGATATCCTTGGTAAATCTATACTTTTTTAAATACAGAAATGTAAATTTAGCTATACTTGCAAGCTTTTAACCAACAGAAGCCATCTGTTTGAATTGGTAATGCAGCATCAAATAAGGATTGGGAGAAGAGTAATAAACCGCCCTTTTAATGCTCCCCTCGTCGTCCTCCTCCCCCCCGCTTCTGGTTTCAGTTTGCGAGGGCTTGGGGGGGGGGTGTTTTTGAAGGGTTGTATTTTCAACCTTTAATTCAGCCGCTTGTTTAAATTCATGAATAGAAAACTGGAATATTGGTATTTCTGAATGATTTTGAATTGAAGAAATTATATACTTTTCCTGGAGACATATGTACTTTGCTTTCAAACTAAGTCAACCCTTAATTATGTTTAGTTAGTTTATTACTCTAACCGCAGCAGATGGCTGACTCCAAAAGAGATAATCCCTGAAACAGTCATTAGTCAGGATCAGCAATCATTACACTGTAGATCTAATGTGTTCTGTGACTAAAAAAGTCCATACCAGTTTAGCAGATCCATACTCTTCTTAACCTCAAGTATAAATTAGACATTTGTTCCATTTTAATGTATTTTGCCAGTCAATACTTTTGATGAACTTTCATGATTGCTTTTTAACATCTCATATTTGTAAAAGAGAAATTGAGTAAGTAAAACCAGGAAAAAAAACCCTGACATTTTTTATTTTCCAAGTGTAGTGGTTTGTGTCAGTTCCTCTCCATACTTTGCACAAAACTTCAGTTATTTTCCCAGAATTTTCCATAGTGAATAATAATCATGAATGAAACTGAACCCAATGAAAACAGAAAGCCATCTCTCATTAAAAAGGAACAGAGAAGTATGAGCAGCTTTACACAAAGAAAGTGTTGTCTTTTCTGAAAAAAAAACCCAAAGAAAAAAATTACTAATGTTAAATAAAAATAAGAACACTAAAAACAGGTAAAGGTTTACTAAGGGAAACAACAATCAAGTATCTTCACATTTAACAAGGTGAAATTTCTTCAAACTAAATTATCTACCAATTCCATGCTCAAAATCTTTGCCGAAATGTACACTAACATAGGAAAAAAATACATTCCTACCATTAAACAGGTATTAACAAGTTACTCCCTTCATGGGATATTGTCATGGATATAACAGTATCCTGTCAACATTAGCTGGGATGTGCAAATGCTATCAAGTGGGTCTTGAAAAAATCTAAACAGTAGACTTACTGACCGCCAACTTCCAGTTTAACCTCTACACCCTCCTGTTCTGCTTTATTATTTCAATGATCACCTCTAACACAGTGAAAAAGAAGTTCAAAGAGCTGGGGTAAAAACATACTTCAGTCTTCCTCAATGACCAAGTGAAATTTGTAACAACTATCTGACAGCCGACTGGAGAAGGGTCCCACAGCTTTTGGGGTTCTCTTGCCGTACAGCAAGGTATTTAACCGTATCATACCGTAATACTGCCAGTCTGTGACTATTTCTTGAGTCAGGATGAGTGCTCTAACGCTGAAGATCTCACAGCTGCTGCACGGAAGCACACCAGTGTCTCTCAGAACCGGCAGTCCTGCACAGGGGAGTTCACCACAAATCTGAAATGCAGTTCCATTTTATGAAGTAAAATTTCAACATCTAATGCCTCTCCTTCCAAGCGGTCGGGGCACTGAAGGCAAACGCAGAGCGTGGAGTGCTGTCAGGGGTGGCCCAGCGGAACCCCCGGGCTGGGCGCCCCGATGTCACAAAGGCCGCAGAACCGCGGAGGAGTGGTTGCACAGCAGTGGAGTGCCAAACTCGCACCAACCCAGCTCGGGCCCAGCGCAGCGG